GGCAAGGAATGAGAATGGCATCTCTACAGCTCTTGCACAAGGAGATTCCTTTCACTTTTAGCTGATAGACTAATGGTGATTTTATTTGCTCATGAATGTAGACAGCAGGCCAAATTTCATTGTGGGTAGTAGAGAACGCTGCTGCCAGTTATCTACTGTGTTCACTGAAATAATGGAACGGCCAGTAGATTTCAACATCACCTTTCATGTTTTTCTTGGATCTATACAGGCAGTCCCTGGGTTACGTACAAGATAGGGACTGTAGGTTTGTTCTTAAGTTGAATTTGTATGTAAGTCGGAACTGGCGTCCAGATTCAGCCGCTGTTGAAACTGACCAGCGGCTGACTACAGGAAGCCTGCGGCAGAGCCGCTCTGCCCCGGGCTTCCTGGAATCAGCCGCTGATCGGTTTCAACAGCGGCTGAATCTGGACACCTGGGACAGAGCAGCTGGGGCGCTGCCGGGTTGGTCCCGCAGCGCCGCTCCTCGGGGCTACTGGACCAACCCGGCAGCACCCCAGCTGCTCTGCCCCAGGCGTCCCCAAGTCAGCCGCTGCTGAAACTGATCAGCGGCTGACTACCAGGGAGACGTGGAGCGGCTTTTCTCACCACGGCTTTGCGTCCTCCATGCCGCCTGCGTCCTCCACAGAGAGAAAAGCCTGGTCTGCGGGGGGGGGGGGGCCACCAAGCTGGGCTCCCTCCCCCCCCCCCAGCAGACCAGGGAGACGCGGAGCGACTTTTCTCACCGCGGAGGACGTGTAAGTCGGATCCACATAAGTCGGGGACTGCCTGTATTTCCAAGTTTTAAAAAGTGAGAGGAAGTGTCCTGTTTGTCAGTCTTATAGGTATTAAAAAAATGTAGCATTTTGTAACCAATGTGCAGAAAGCCAAGCTGAATTCTGCTGCCAACGTTCTTAAAATACCACACTATTGAGGGGGCTTTCTATCATTAAAGAGATTTTCGAATGGTTTGAGAAACGAAATTTAGTCTTTTTTTGTCCCTCTTTTTAAGGAAGTAGGATCTAGGACTATTACAGTTTTCAATATATTTCCTCCCAACTCCTCAAAAAATGCCAGTGACAAAAGTTGTATTTATTTTCATTTTCATTTTCCTGCAGCACTGGAAACTGAGAATGGCTGCTGACTGAAATAGGGAGACAAAAGCGAATAGTTCAGTGTCTCAACCGAGCAGAGTAAAATGGCAAAAGCAAACAGAAAGCACCTGTGCCCTGCAGTACCTAACTTCAAGCTTATATCACATACAGTAATAAATATACTGATTTCCCAGTGCTTTCCATCTGCCCCATGTGCTCCCTCCTAAAGAGGCTCACCATATATATTTTTATATCAACATCTAAAAATCTGTTCTGAGATTGCACATTTTGTAATTAGTAATCAAACGTTTCCTGAGAATGGCATATTCTAATCCCCTTAGGAAGTACTTGCACGCTTAATACATGGACCCCCCTCCCCCACACACACACACCTCCTCCTGCATCCTTTCCCCCCAGTTCTGCTCACTCAATAGACTCAGGGCCATATGCAGTCACAGAATGTTTGCTTGAGTGAGGACCTCAAGATTTGACAGGGAAAAGCTGCTCGTGTGAGCAAAGAGTTCATGCAGTGCATCTATTTTTTCTTCTGTCGAGTGTTCGAAGGTCTTCGGACAGACACCAAAAAAACAGCTCAAGTTTTCTAGTAGTGTAAATCAGGACTAATTCCAGTGAAATCAAAGGATTTATGCTAGTGTAAAAATGGCCTGAGAGCAAAAAATGCCCTGTGGATGGTGATCTATATGGTTATATATTTAACCACAGAAGTGTCCCTTTATTATGAAATATTGCAACAGAAGATTGCTGCTATATGAATTTTAGTGCACTCTTGACTCCCATTTACAATGATTACATGAATAACTACTTGTAAAACCCAAGAGTCCAACCTTTTACACAACCAAGCCATCCCACTGAAGTCAATGGGACTTTTTGTATATGTAAAAATTTAACTCCTGGAAGGAAAGGTTTGTAGATTTGTGCCACAATTTCTTACTTAAGTTTTACGCACAATGTGATGTGAAGTGTCAGGGACGGGAGGTAGTCTGACACCTTTGTGTTCTTTTTCATTCACACTAGCACTGTTTTCCCTGGCCTCCTGAAGCATTTAATAGCCTAACAACAGGAAACACAGAAAACACAAACCTCTAGATGCAAAGAAAAATAATAAAGAAAATCAATTCTGGTTTGCATATTCAGTCAGATTCCAGTTTGAATAATAAATCATAAGAGAGCACAATTTTTCACGCAGTAGATGGATCCCACTTAATTATTCATGCACACATGCATCTACTAACCCCCACACATGCCAAAAAAATCAAGAGGAATTTTTTTGCTAGGCATTCACTGCACACAACAGAGTTCCCCCTGTAGTCCTTCACCTTCTGTAAGGAATGTTCTTCTGCAGCTGCCTCCTAAGATTCTCTCTCAGTGTTTTCTGTTAATCACAGCCTAAGAAATATCATCAGTTAAAAAGGCTCTAAAAAAAAACTACAGGACCAAATTTTTAGAGCCCTACAAATCCACAGATATCTGCATTATATCCGCGGGCATCCACATCCACAGCTGTGAATGTGGATATCCACAGCTCATTTTTGCAGATATGGATGCGGGTACACATACAAATTTTATATCTAGTACCCTGTGTGTTCTGGGGTACACCATCGTCTGGCTCCAGTGCAGCCCCAGCACAAGCTTATATTTGCAAGGATCTGCATCTGCAGATGTGGATATCTGAGGATTCTTGTTGCAGATGCAGATATGGAGCCGGATGGCAATTTTCTATCCACACAGAGCTCTACACATTTTTCAAAGGAGCCATGACTCTGAAATTGTACTTTTAACTTTGCCTGTATAGTTAAGTGTGTTTCTAGCTGTCTAGATATTTATACAATAGTGTGTACACAAAGCCATAATTCTGTACATAAATGGACACATTCCTCAGAGTTACTAGGTCCCTTTCACTTTCATGAGAGTTGATGCCAACTGGCACCTTGCTAAATTAGGTTATATACCTGAGGGCCTGGTAGCAGGATGTCTGGAGATGTGAGTTGTATATATGCAAGTGCAAGTAAATAATTCTGCACACACAGTTCCACTGGAGAAACTATATTTGAAACTTTGACTGTATATGAATAAATAAAGTTTTCATTAAAATTTAAAAACAGAATCTGAGCTAAATACTGCAGTTCTCCTGCAGTACTGCAAAGTCAAGCAAAGAGAAGCAAAACCAAAAACTAGAACAGAGTATGGTCTAAACAGAGATAAAACTTACAAATCAAATTTCACTGTCTTGGAAGGAAGACATGCAAAAAAGCAAACAAGCATAAACGGTGACTGGGTATATTAATATTAAAAAAATCAGTTCTGATAAACAGAAATGCTAGAAACTTGGTTAAGAAAATATTTAACAATAATATTCTACTTGTCCTTTATATGGATGCATAGCATAGGAAAAGCATGCAAAGAGTTCCTACCCCTGATCCTTGAGCATCCCCTGTAAGTGCCCAGCAGAAGTGCAATTCCTATTCTTACGGAAGAACAGATTGCTGCTCCCAGCTTCGTAACTTCTACTTTCAGGGTCTTACCCACAAGATTCAGAAAGGAGGCAGGGCCATAGCTCTATCCTTGAGCACTACCCAGCAACGTGAGACTGGAGACCAGTATCATGCACCAATATAGCACTGCAATGAGGAGGGGGCATGGCACTGCCGCTGCAGAATGCCTCCCAGGCTATGTCTACACGACTGAGTTTTTCCGGGATACTAGAGGTATCCCAGAAAAACTCTGCCGCGTCCAGGGAACGTGTCCGCTTTTTCGGATCAGTTTCCAAAAAAGTGAGCACGCTGTTTCAGAAGCCCTGTATTCCTCATTTAATGAGGAATATGGGCTCTTCTGAAAGAGGAGGTTTTTCCACATTTGACAATTTGCGTATCTTTTTCCAAAAATAACTGCAGTGTCGACACAGCCCGGCTACGTCTACACTGGCTCCTTTTCCGGAAGGGGCATGTAAATTTCACGAGTCGTCGTAGGGAAATCCGCGGGGGATTTAAATATCCCCCGCGGCATTTAAATAAAAATGTCCGCCGCTTTTTAATGAGGAATATGGGCTCTTCTGAAAGAGGAGGTTTTTCCACATTTGACAATTTGCGTATCTTTTTCCAAAAATAACTGCAGTGTCGACACAGCCCCAGTGTGGTGCGGAACTGGACTGCACCCATTGCAGGACTGCAGTTAAAAAGCCCAGTCAAACCCTCCTGTTCTTCTGCCCAGACCGTACCTCTGAACATTAACATTACTCCACATAAATGATCCTGAACGTATGATTCTGGCTCAGCTATGTGATTTCTTTGGTTTTCTCGGCATTACTGTGATTATGAAAAAAATGAATCGAAGTCAGGGCATTTGCAAAAAGCAGATGGAGGAGGAAGAGAAGGAGAGTGTGGTTAGAGGCTTACCTGCTTGGTTAGTTGTCACTGTGACTGAGACAGCCTGGTCCTGGCTGGGGTTTTGCTTTGACACTCCGTTCACTGCCCAGATTTCAAAAGTGTAGTTGGAGTGTGCCAGAAGGTCAGTAATAGAGACTTTGGTGGTTTTCAAGCCATTCTGCTGGGGGCTGAAGTGCACGCCACTACCACACGACCGACAGCGGTTGAGGTCGCCAGCCCCACATCTCTTGCACACCACATTGTAGGAGATGTCATCGCGGCCTCCGCTGTTCTGAGGGGCACTCCACTCCAAGTTCACTGACGTCTCATTGACATTGGAAATCAGGTTCAGGGGAGCAGAGGGAGGGCCTAGGAAATAAAAATACCTTATTTTAATGTCATGTGAAAATAACCCTTCAGGGCTTCTCAAAACTCTGTCTCCAGGAGGCGCCGAGTGCCCCTGCTCCCACTGCAGTGAGAGAAAAGAGTGTGCAGCTTCGCACTCTATTTGCCCTGGAACGAAGGTGAAAGATTAACTCATTATTAAATAACCATCATTACCTCTAAGGATCGCAAATAACTTTTCACACACAAAATATCAAGAGTTAACTCTGGTTAATCATAAGTTTTATCATGGATTTCACAGTATGACGGGAGTTTTGAGTCTCTTGTGGTCTCCAGATGCTAACAACAAACTCATAAACTTCTGTTCTTATGCAACATCACCAGAGTTCCAGACTCAGGCAAGATGGCCACCATTTCCTTATACTTTTCACTCATAGAAAGATGGCTGCCACATCCCACTGTTACCAATTAGACGGATACCAGGCTGCATTCAGTGAAAAAGGAGATTGCCTGGCAGGGAGCTGGATAAGAAATTATGCAACGAGAGGGGAATGTGGAGTGCAAGAGGGAGATGTACGTGGAGGAAAAAACATTGGAACACGTAGGGTTAAGCACATGACTAAAAAGTTGCAAAAGTAACATTGTAGGGGTGCAGTGGGAACAAGGGGCAGCTGAGAGCGAGATCACAAGATATTAGAGTTTGGGAGACAAATAGAAGGAAAGTATGAGGTGAATGGAGAAGCCTTCGCCGCCTTGAACAGACACAGATCCTTGCTTCGTAGAAGTGCCCAGTGTTTTCAAGTGAGACCGTGACATGCCAAGGAACTGCTTTTTCTACAGACTTGCCACTACACTTACTATAACACTGACACCCCCATAGGATCTGGGCAATCTTGTTTGCACATCTGCAAGTCTGGGGAACTGTGAGAGGGATTGCCATTAAGAAGAGTCTGATTAGTGCTCCACTGTTTAAAACAGGACCAGCATATAAAACCTTTGCTCTTGACAAGTAGTACCTAAACCTGCAAAAAGTTCCATGGATGCCAATGGGGGTATTCATGAAGCAAGGACCTGAATATAAGAAAAGGTTTGTACAGTCTAGCTTATAATATAGTTCAAATACTCTAAAACAGCTGCATCTGGCTCAGACATTGCAGTAACTTCTGGGTTAAACCTAAAGTGATTTTGAAGTACATTAAGGCATTAAGACACTTTTCCAAGGCTCTGTGTCCAGTTTCACGTGGGAAAATGTGCCACAATGAATCAAGCTCCTCAGAAGCAAAAAGTCAGTAATTAGTATGTGGGACAGGGCATGGTAGTGTCTAAACAGAGAAGCAATGAAGCAGAAAACTAAGGAAGCAGATGCTTGCAGGTCGCCGAGATGAGCACACCACCTCCAGCATGAAAAGGAAGATGAGGGGAGGGGAGGGGAGGGGGGAGTTACTTGACGATCTGCCATTAAGTCAAGGTGAAAGGCAATTTCCTTTTCTCCTGAAGAATATTTGCTATTGGAGATATAAGAATAAAGTGTGGGCAGAGATTTCAGATTGACAAACCCAGTTTCACTGAGCATTTTTTCGCATCTCACCTGCAATCAGCATGCCCTTTGTTTTGGACACTAGAGCTTTCTAAGCTAGTTGAGAAGATACCCTTACACAGGGGAAAACCCTTCCATGGACACAGAGAGCCCGAACTATAGTGAAGCCAGTGTTTTTCCACTGCAAAGCAAGTGAAGGGAGCAAACATGCTACTGGGATCACACAGTGAAAAGCATCTTCTTCAGGCCAGAGAGCTGCATTCATGGAAGTTCCCCTTCTGGGCTTTCAAGGAAGAAGCTTTGCAATGGGGATGGAGAGATTGGGGTGATGGCTCTGTGCAGTGCAGTCAATTATTTTGATAAAATCACAAGTCTTGTGGTTTTTGAGGCTCTTCTAAAAGTCCCAGGTGGGGGATAATTACAATGCATATCCCACAGACAAAGGAGGATGGGAAATTTTGAATTTTACTCCTTGGACCCCATAAATTCCACTTCACAGCAACCATCCTAAATCTTTCTAAAGCAGGGGTGGGGACCCTCAGGCCTGCCTGGATCCGGCCCCAAGGCTCAGGGCCCACTCCCAACATTGGGGAGCCCACACTGGCGATCCAGGCCTCCCACCTCCTTCCCCTCCTGTGGGACTGGAGCACACAAAATCAACTAGGCTGGATACCCCTAGGCTCTGAGTTGTAAGGGCAATGTGGGGAGTATCTTTCTCCTCCTTAGTCAGGGGCTATGTCCGTGAAAGTTGTGGTTTTTTGTTGTTGTTGTTTGTTTGCTTCTCTCATGTGTGGCTCCTGACTGATTTTTCTGTAGGTCAGTAGCCCCCCCATCCCAAAAAAGGTTCCCTACCTTTTTAGGGGACCTTGAGCATAGTAGGAGAAGTATATTTCAGCATGCTGCATTGCATCTATCAATTTCCCGGAGAAACATTACAACATTCCCCATTTAGAAAGGGATTTTGTTTAATAGAGAAATGATCTTTATCAGATGACTAATGTTGTCCTTAACCTTGAACCACCCTAACAGACAACCAGAAGAGATGCCAATGTCTGCATGGGCCAAAATGGTTCTGTCAGGATAAAAAAGTGCTGCTCCAAGAGCGTGCTAAACCACTGCAAAAGGCAAGTGGTGCAAAGAACATTTCATTCAGCTGGATCAATATTCTTGCCACAGAGTCCTCACATAGGGACTGATTCTGCCCAGCCCTTCATGCACGCACAAGGGAAAGACACCATGCCCCTTTAGGCTCTGGGACCTGGCACAATCACTCAAAATCTACCAGACTGTGCAAATCTAGAATCACTGGTGACACAGGACTCCCTAAAAGTAGTGCAGAACGGCACCAAGACCCCGTTAAGAACAGCAGAACAGATCCTGTGTGCATGAAGGAAAACCGATACTATGCTTTATCAAAAGGTGGTACTGTGACTGTGCTCTCCCTGCAATCCTAAAAACACTGTGAAGGCCTGCGTTGTTCCTACAAGGCAGCCTCTCAGTATTACCCTACCATGATCTGTGACATACAGGCACAGTCAGGCAACTTCATACTCACACACCCTAAGAGTTCCAACCTATCCTGAGTTTCTCTGCTGCTGTAAATCCTCCCTGACCTGCATGGCCTTTAAAAGCCTCGAGAAATAACCAGCACTGGAGCATTAGGGTTAGGAAATGTGAATACAGTGTTCTAGATAATTGCATGTGAGCTCTTGCTATGACTAAGGTTTAATACTGGGGATTTTACATATTGCATTTTTATTAGTGATCTGCCCAGCAAGGTGTTTCTCAGAAAGCCTCCCTGGGTGTGTGCAGACAGTAAATGCAATTATAGCTTTCCACGACAGGACCAGAAAGACTTGTTTGGTATAGGAAGTCCAGCAACAATACATGGTTAGAAGGTTTGATTTAAAAGATGGTGAAAGAAGGATTCCAGCAAAGCAGCTCTAGAGCTACTGTTCTGCATACAGAGATGCTGCAAAGCAAGGAATTTATAGTATGGGTCTTGAGCCACCACAGCTGCCTCAGCCTGACAAGATGTCAGCATCCAATCTTGAAACAACCAACATTCTGAAATCCTGGACTGTCTTTTAATGTGGATGGTAGGTGCAGGGGTATTTTAAACCACCAATGACATACACCTTTTCTTACCAAGTCTCCTGCAGGGCTTTCTCTTACACAAAAGCTATGGAAAGGGTTTCGTTTTCCTCCTTTTCTTTGGATTTACGTGGACATAGCATTTAAGATAAATAAAGTGTTTTCTTTTTAATGAACCTAAATAATCATTATAGAGTATCTTAGTAACGTTTTTTCTATTAGATTAAAAAAAATCAATTCTCAGTTCTAGCATGGGTTTAACGTCGGGGGAAATGCATCTCTTAATGCTTTTAAAGTGAATTCAGTGCTTCTGAAAGGTGCTAGATTGATAGCGCTGACAACTAATGTCTATTTAGCCACAGAAAGATAAAGCATTGACAGTTGCAGTGCAAGCTTGCCCCCAACTGCCCTGCCATAGTGACTCAGTCCTGTTACAAAGGGATCAGCACAAGAAGTTGAAGGGTGTGTGCCTTTCTCTAAACCATTTCTTGGCTTCTCTGCTGAAGATGTCTATAGGGTACCTGTGGGGGTGGGCTTTGTGACTATGACACTTCCCCATTAAGGACTACACTGATACTAGCAATCAGATGGGAACAAGTTTCTGTCTGCTATCAACCTGGGCTAAGATTTTGTTTGCTATCTTGAAAGAATGTGTGTGCGTGGGTGCAGCTCTATTAAAAGCAAACAAACCCACGCTCTCCATAAACATGTTAACGGAGGTTTTCAAAATATGCTCCACACAAGGACAGGCTTTATCTTAAACATTCCTTCAGTTAGTTACTCATGTCAGTGTCTTTACAACAAGGAACCCTTGAGTCACTTTGAACAGAGGTGGGAATTCCTAACTGGACTAGGTTTTTTTTTTTTTTAAACAGGTATGGGTGTGAGGGTCAAAGGGTTAAAACGAGGGAACCGGATGGGGATACCGAGCAGAGAACCCCGGACAGCGCCCACTGCCTGCCGAAGTTCTCGAGAGAGCCTGCAGGCGCTGCCCATTGGAACTCTGTCCAGATACAGCAACGGAAATAGGCCCTACAGTCGCAGGCCCCTCCCCCGGCCAACCTCTTCTCCCTGGTTTTGTAGATTGCTAATTTGGCCATAGCCAGGAGGAGGTTGACCAGGAGGTCCCGCGACTTTGTGGGGCCATGGATGGGATGTGCGTAAATTAACAAGTGGGGGGAAAAGTGCAGCCAGATCCTCAACAGGAGGTTCTGGAGGAGCCGAAAGAGGGGTTGTAGCCTGGCGCACTCGATGTAGATGTGCGTCAGGGTCTCCCTCACACCACAGAAGAGGCACGTTTCGGAGGTGGGGGTGAACCGCACCAAGTACACGCCCGTGCTCACCGCGCCGTGCAGGATTCTCCAGCAGATGTCCCCAGTGGGCCGTGGAACGA